GGTAGCTAGAGATCCAAGGAGATCTGGGTGGCACGTTCACATGCCTTGCCATGCATGGCATGGGGTTGGTACTGTTTAGTTGGGGCAAAAGCCAACCTTCATAACTCCATTGCCGATCGATTATGATGATGATGACCTGGCAGATTTGCTAGATCTAGTTGGTCGGTGCGCGCATGAGTGGGACACCTTTTAGCTTCCTAACACATTACGTGTCAAAAAGTACCAGCTAGCTGGCTGCACCCACCAGCCCCGACACATGCCCTCTCAACCATATCATCACCAATATGTGTACTTTTGATTTAGGGTTTCTTCCAAACTGTTTTTTTTTTAAAAAAAAAAAAACTAAAAAGATAACTAAATAGGCTTCTTTATTGTTTAATAAAAACTTTAAAAGTATTTTCATGTTATAAAAGCATTTTAGTGTTGTTTGGAGAGGTACTTATTCATAATTAAAGCACTTCAAATTTTATAGAACTTTCGATGTGTAAAAGCGTTTTATAAAAAAAAGTGTTTCCTATAACACATTCGGTCCAAACATGAAATTAATGAATGAACACACAATGGTGGGTCAAAGCTGTGGTATGTGAAGGTAAAATAAATATTGAAAGAAAAATTTTTGCAAGAACTTATAAGAAGGTAGACTACTCCGCACAAAATCAATTGGCTTATAAAATGTGGTGGTGAAAGCAACATATGTGCCCCTTGTGTGACACATTGTCACGTGAGAATGATAAGTAAGAACCAAAGTTTAACAAAAGAAGGAGAAAAAAAAACACATAACATGCATGCAGGTTAAAACTCCACGTATACAGACTATAATATTGACTCTTTGTGGAATATTCTGCAGAATTAATCCATGCATTAATTTTATATTGTCAAATTTAGTGTGCGGGTATTATCATGATCATGTTACATGTTTCTCCATTTATCTCATGATGCTAACATATGTGCTTATATTTATTCAATTTATTTAGCCATATACAGCACATTGTGGCTTCATCACGGCAATTTATCTTTCTAGATGTTGGGAAGACTCACAGAGGCATTTCAGCCTTCTCCTGACTACTATTGTGTGATTCATCAACGTCAAGAATTTCACTCAAGACGTGCCGTGTGAAATACAGATCTGGAATTCGTTCCCAACCATTGGACTATAAATAAGAAAAAGCATCACATTACATTACATGTTATATGCCGTTACTTAAAGTTTTCGAGTGATGTTATGTCTACCCACCTAGTTTATTTGATAACTAATATATATGAAAAATGGATGCAAAATGTGTGCGAAAATAAGTTAAGTGAATCGGCATAAAAACACATTAATTTCTTATTAAAAACCTAATGTAAGACAAGTTTAAAATATTTCAAGTACAAACTTAATAATTTATACTCATGGAAAAAACAATTAATATATATAGGAAAATAAGTAGGGAAAAAGAAAGAGAAAGACTTAATCGGTGTATTTAGGGGGAAAATAAGGAAGAAAAATGAAAAGGGAAAGGTGGCAATTAGTGAAGGCACATGCATGCACCATGCAGTGTGATATGGAGATTGGAGAGGAGTCTAGAGGAAGACAAATACGGAAAGCAAAAAACGAGGACAAGGATTTTCTTCTTCTTTTTTTTTTTTTTTTTTTTTTTTTTTTTTTTTTTTTTTGAACACTCAAGATTTTATCTTTGTAGAGAGAGAAAGAAGAAGAAAGTAAAGAGAGAAAGAAGAAAACAAAACTGTCAGAGGAAGTGCGGAAGCAGAGGAAAAAAGGGTGGGGAGAGAATCCTCATCCAAAGGAGAAAGCAATAATTCCATTCGCATGCAGATATTGAACCTTTTTGGATGAGGATTTCAGCAATTATGGTTCAACTTTCAGCTAGCAAGCTTTAAACTTTAAAACTAAAAATTGGAGATCTTGGATTCGAAACTTGTTTCTGGTGTGAAAGTTAGATTTGTGACAGGAGGAGGCTGAAATACCTTTATGAGTATTTCTAGCCTCCAGAATGAGTGGATAACCGTGGTTTGCTACCAGTTGTCCTTCTTTAAAAAAAAAAACCTTAAATATTATCATGACTCTTCGGTCTTTCCCTCCCTCCGCCCTCTGACTCACGGCGCCTTATGGTCTTTGATGGCCATTTGCCCTCGTAGCATGGATAGTGGATTCACACCAAATACATAGACCTAACAACCTACAACTACTAATTCTAATAAGGGTTAAAGTTGAGTAGTATCTTAATTAATACACCGTAAATTCATTTAGTATGATATTTTATTGAAATGTTAATACGAGTCATGAATTCCAATCAGAGTTTAGATGGAAGCCGTATATGTAACAACATAATCTGATTGATTCTTAATTGTTAGAATATGCAAAGATCTCTGCAACCTAACGTGACTCATTAAAATAATCAGCATGACGGTGTTCAATTATATTCATATATCTTTTATCACGAGACTGGTTAATAGAAATCGAGGTTTTTCTCCTTAGAAACATCCACGACACCAAAAGGGCAAAGTTAGCCAAATAGTTAAGCTCACACTAGTCCAAAATAAATCCAAGATACAATTGAAGCAATTTACTATATTTGTAAAGTAGCTCTCAAGTTGGGTTTCTCTTCTTGATATATAGATGTAGATATATATATATATATATATATTATTTTTTGAATGTATTTTATATAAGAAGTAGATAATTGAATTCCCTTTCTCCGGAAATAAATAGATGATGTTTATAAATGGAAAAATAAATGGAGGCAATTAAAATGGATTTTCACAAAAAAGGAGGGCAGGCAGTTGGTATTGGTGGACGTGCCATGTGCGCAACCCAATCATAGGCAATAAGACTATAAAGGAAGACTCTAGAACCCGGAAAAAAGCCTGACCCCGCCGCAGTAAGCACGAGCCATGCACCGTGAACCCTCCAAGACGGGTCCTACTTACGGTTAAGGCTCATGGCCAGTGTGCCGCGCGATAGAGGATGATTTATACAAAACAGGTTCACGTTGCGTCCAAATTAAGTAATAAATTTACTTTATGTGTTTTTTCATTAGACCTGTATTAGTGAATAAAAACATCACAATAACAATAAATTCGTTCTAAGTAAGTTGTTTTTTGCAATGTGGCTGGCTGACGTACAACACTAGGCTCTTTATTACCAGTTAATATTCATTTATCTGTTAAAGATGAGATGACATTGTTTTATCATACAAAAATTAAAATCATAATTAAGTATTTTTTTTAATGACAAAACGGTTTTCAAATAGAATAAATTTTTCTTTTGGTTATCTTTAAATAATGATAAAAAAAAATTAACTATGCTAACTATAACATGAATAGGAAATAATGTCACAATAATATAAAAATAAAAATAACTTGTTACATAAAAAAAAAACTCTGCCTCACCCTTTTAATCTTCTTACCCTGCTAACGATAGACGGACAGATTGGGACCCACATTTTACGCGCTTTACTTATCTGTCTCCAGATTGCTATTGGGACCCACCTTCATCTTTCTTATCGTTTTTCCAATTTTACAGTTTTTTTTTTCTTTCTAAATTAAATAAAAGGGAAAGATGCCAATTTTCTCAACAAATTGCAGCCATTGCTGATGGCTCAGCTTGTGATACAAGCACAAATGTGACTTCCACTCACTACTATTTTTTCTGTTTTATTCTTCATGAATTTTTGAACAAATCCTATATATATATATATATAGGATTTTCACTGCGATTTTTTTTTTTTAATTTTTTATCGTTTAAGTGTTTGTTTTGGTTGGACTGAGGTTTTTTATTTTCCCAAATTACAAGTTGGGGAAATGTTCATATACTAAAAAGATAAGGGGGAGGGGGAGAGAGAGAGTTAAAGTACATATTCTCAAGCATTGTTTGAGCAAAAAGGACCAATAATTGTCATTATTATTTGGTTTTACCTTGATGGAGTTGTTATTTGAACAAATCTCACAACTTAAATAAGACAAATTGTGGATCGATGCTTTTGGTGTGATGGACAGTGCGTCGATACATGTTTTATAATAAACAGAGTTGAAAAATAACTGTATAAATTGATGACTGGGGTGACACATCGATGAAGATATTGTCTTGATTACTGAACATCCAAAATTATTATAAATGGACACTTGTTATCTCTCCATACACCCATTTGTTAATTTTGGTGTTTAAATTGAATAAAATATACGAGAATCAAGAGACAAGAATATACATAAGTGTATAAACATAGAAAATAAATGCACGAAAATAACATTCCAAAAAATTATCGTTACTTGCCTATTTTTCTCCAATTCCTTTTCCTTTTCACTTAAAATGCTTGTAATGTTGGATATCACACAACTAATTAAAGAAATTATGTCTACCCATTGGACTAATGATACTTAAGGTTCACATCAACAATGTGAAAATCAATGGGGTTGGCCTCCTTAGCTTCAAAATCTATTTCATGCTAATTAAATCCTAATTGGCTTAACTAAAGATTAATTAAGCTGAGGGTTGTGTTTCACAAACTACTTTTAGCGTCTCACCTTATCAAATAAATCAAACGAAAAAACAAATATAATTAAACATGAATGTATAACAAGAAGAAAAAAACGTGTATTTATTGTTTCTCTGATCGGCTCTCCCTCTCTCCCCATTGGCCCTTGAACTTGCCCCCCAACTTGACCAAACAAAATCAACACGAAGAGAACCCATGTGTGGTGCACGTGCACATCAATTCATGCTTCCCCAATGAATGGTGACCCAAAAAAAAAAACTTGGAAAATAAGAAAATAAGAAATAAAAACAATAAAAATAAAACCTTTTTTTTTGTAATAAATAAAAAAGTAAATAATAATAAAAAATAGATCTGAGAGTGGGCATTAATTATCCAGACCACTGATGCCCTGCTCGCAACCTCCATAAGTACCCCCACCTTCTTCCCGCTTCCTATTCGCTCCAACGCCAATCCCATATCCATCAGTCTCTCTCTTCCTTCTGCTTTCTCACTCCTTTCTCTCCCTCTCTGACTCTCTCTCCGGCAATGGCTTTCCTTCGCATGCTCTGCATTGCTTCCCTGCTCTCTCTCTTCATGGCGGCCAACGCCAGAATCCCAGGGGTTTACACTGGTGGCGCATGGGAGGGCGCCCATGCCACCTTCTACGGCGGCAGCGACGCCTCTGGCACCATGGGTACGTCCCCATTTTCTTTTTCTCAAAACCCCATTTCATAAGCTTCAAAAAAGAATAAACCCATTTCATTTCTGACTTTTTTTCTTCACAAATCTGTCTCATTTCTTCACCTTTTCTCTCTGTTTTTCAAAACCCGTGTTATTTTCTAAATTTCTACTCAAAATCTGAGTCTCCTAAAACCCTCATTTCTCTGTTTTTTCAGGTGGCGCTTGCGGGTACGGCAACCTCTACAGCCAGGGCTACGGCGTCAACACGGCTGCGCTTAGCACTGCTCTGTTCAACAATGGCCTCAGCTGCGGCGCCTGCTTTGAGATTAAGTGCGGCGACGACCCCAGGTGGTGCCACCCAGGCAACCCCTCCATCTTCGTCACCGCCACCAACTTCTGCCCTCCTAACTTCGCTCAGCCCAGCGACGACGGCGGCTGGTGCAACCCTCCCCGCACTCACTTCGACCTCGCCATGCCCATGTTCCTCAAGATCGCCGAGTACAAGGCCGGCATCGTCCCCGTCTCTTACCGCCGGTGAGTAAATCAAAACCCCAATGTCACAGTCAAGTCTCTGTTTTCTTTCGCTCCTTCTGCGTTTATTTTTCGTTTGGACGGAAATACCCTCGTCGTTTCTTACTTTTTACCTTTTCTAAAGGAATTTCAACGAAAAGCAATCGGTTTACTTTAACGAAAATCATATTTTTATCCTATAAAATCAATTATTTTACTATTCATTTTATCATTTATATTTTGTGGTTAAAACTCAAAGTTTTCTTCTTAGTTTTTTTTTCCCTATAAAATCCTGTTTGGCAGCCGATAAACAACCGTAGAATACAGTGCTCCACTGTTAAGAACATTCTTGTTTTCTAATTAACCAAACAGCAGATTTCTAATTAACCAAACAGCAGAAATGTTTTTATTTTCTCGCGAACCAAACAGATCTTAATGTTAGAACCTTTCTTGTGTTAGTTAATCATCCGTCCCGCTTTACGTCGTTTACCCGAAAATAACCAACGGGAACCCGTTTTCCCTTTACCACTTTGCTCAAAATGACCAAACTAGCCTCACCCGGAAACCCGTGTGCCTTGGTTTAGTGTAGAGTGTAAATTACCCAACGCATGAAGGGTATAGAAGTCTTTTGACCTTGCTAGGGTTACTGTAGATATTTTACGCCGTTCGACGCGTGTATAGAAAAGGTACTAACTTTATGGGAAGTTGCACCACTCCCGCATCGGAAATTTACCAGTCAAACCTACTCATTGACTTTTTACCGCAGTAATTAACCAAGTCACCGCAGTAACTAAACTTTGACTCTGTTTGTTGGATTTTTTATTTTCTACAGAGTTCCCTGCAGAAAGCAAGGCGGCGTGAGATTCACAATTAACGGCTTCCGTTACTTCAACCTGGTTCTGATCACCAACGTCGCGGGCGCAGGGGATATCGTGAGGGTGAGCGTGAAAGGCGCGAACACGGGGTGGATGCCGATGAGCCGCAACTGGGGGCAAAACTGGCAATCCAACGCAGACCTGGTGGGCCAGACCCTGTCCTTCAGAGTCACGGGCAGTGACAGGCGCACCTCCACTACCCTCAACGTGGCGCCCGCTCATTGGCAGTTCGGACAAACTTTCACCGGGAAGAATTTCCGCGTCTAAAATTAAGGGAAAAAGAAAAGCTTATGCACTATCTTTAATTTTTTCTTTTTAAAATTATCCAAAGCTTAATTTCCCGCGTTTGGATTTTCCTCTATTTTCCCGGGAAAATTTGGAGTGGTGGGAGCTAAAAGTAAAGTATTAGATGATGTGGGGGTTAAAAGTTAAAATTGGGTGACTAGATAGGTAGAAAAGTGACTTACTTTTCAAGTGTGTTGTGTGCGGCAACTTTTACTTTTTTAACTTTTGGTGCTTTTTTTTGCTTAAGTGGGAGGCTGGAAAAAATTAAAGTCATCCGGCCAAATGATATATATGTGTAAAAGGAGCTGAAGTGGCTGCAAAGAATCAACATGCAGCCCGCAGCTCTTTCTATATCCTTTTTAATATATAATATAATATATTTACGTTTAGTCTATTAATTTCTGTGTATGGATTACTTTTATGGAAAGAGATCCTCTCTGCGCATCTTTTTTGTCAAATTCATTCAATCATTTAATTCGAATCTTTGAAATTTAATTTAAAGTTAGTATAATTTTTAAAGGAGATTTATGTTTGTATCCGTTGAATTAAATTTTAAGAATCCAGATTAATTTATTGTGTGGATTTGATGGATCCTATTTTTATATTGGTTTTTGGTTGGATTAATGTTGTCTTTATTAAAAAAAAAAGGATTGTATTAAATAAATTTCAACATTACATCAAACCGTCTACAGAAAAATAATTTCAAAAAGGAGAAAACTATTGCTGGCAAAAGCTGCACATATTGTAAACATACGTACGTCACCCAAATTAAGCTCGATTGCTACTTTAATTACCTCGACAATGCAAAACCTGCAACACATTACTAATCATATTGACTGATAATGTTCCAGTTTAATTACCTCATTTTTCGGCAGGTCTTGATTTTATCACAAACCCAAAACAAAAATAGAAAGATTTCAATTAAACAAGGGATTAAGGAAACGGGATTCAGATTCAAAATACAAGGCAAAATGATTTTTTTTATTTTTTTTCCATGTATTTTGTATCATTTTGGGGGCAATGGTGGAGCGGTAAGATGGGGGACTGCAAGTTCCTCTAAGTTTAAGAATTCTTTTAGAATACTCTTTTATTGAATATCATTAAAAAAAAAATTTCGGATGGCCTAGTATGCCACCAATTAGTAAACGGAGATTTTTGACTCTTATTAAATGAGAGAGATCCATCAAGGCAAAACTACTGTAGATGCAAGATATAGAAGGGAAATGCATACTTTTTTTTTGTTTGCCATCTTTCAATTTTTAAAATTTTAATGAATGAATAATTCAATATAAGTTGTAATTTATTCTATCACATTAAATCACGAAAAATGGAAATAAAATTGATGATAATGTTGAATTGAAATGGATGGAGGGCCATGACGTTTATTGCCTAGAAGGCAGTGATGATAGACGGGAAGAACTGGCTCCATATGAACATATCTACCAGATTGTCCGGAGGAAAACTGCATCACGGTTTCACCTTTGCAACTTCCTCTGCACAGGCGCATTCATGGCCTCTTGGAATTTTGCCCAACCTACCTCCTTTCGGAGATGCTAAGCATACGCATGTCCTTTCTTTCCTTGGTTTCAGAAGTTGGTTCTTACCACCTCACTCAATAAGATAATGTCCTTCTCATGAATGATCCGTTGATTACGAGAAGAATTTACATGACACGGGAACGCTGATACATTAGCTAATCAATGTGTCAATATTTCGTTACATAACATTGCAATTGTATCAAGGCATGAGAGGCTACGATACTAATATATTTGTACCATGTAAGTTGCTCTCGTCGATTATCCATCAAATTTTATATACATTTTATAAATGCGTTGTATAGTTATTTTTTGGTTGAAAAACGGGGACAAGAGCTCAAACAAACCTATTTAATAATAAATCTAGACTAGGACATCCCTAGTCGATCATCACGAATAAAACGAATTGAACAAGAAGGAAGAATATCAAAATAAAAATTAGCTAAATCTAAATCAAGACTATAACTTGTTAAACTATCAGTCACAAAGTTCTTTTCTCTGTAGACAAACTGAAGTTCGCATTGCCAAAATATTGAAAGACAACCAGACAACTTCAAGTTTTTTAAAAGAATACTTCAACAACTCAATTGGAGAAGGGAAAAAAAAAATCCTTTAACTATTCACTTGTCCTTTCCAATTCCTATGTGCCCTTCTTCCAATTCAAAGTATAAAGAGTATTTTTCTACATGTATTAGACAAGGCCGTCTCTGAGATTTCGGAGGTCCTGTACGAAATTTATAAAAGAGCCCCTTCTTAAGGCCATCTCCGACCGAAGGGTCTAGAGGGCCGAAAATAGCCCGAAAACCGTCTCCAATCGAGGGCTAGGCCAGATGACTTGTGGAATCTGAGAGGGCCCCACGAAATCTTAAAGGGTTGGTTGGCGCCAGTTACTGTTGGATTCAAATTTTGTTTTTTTTTGTTTTTTTAGGTTTTTTGGGCCATTCCTCACAAAATTTTCATCATTCCTACACCATTTCAATTCTCATATTTTCCTTCCTCTTTCAAAAATCTATCTTTCAATTTTTTTAATAATTTTGAAATGGCCTCGTCTGCAATGAAAGGTAGGGCTTAGACCCGAAAAGAAGATGAAGCTCTTTGCAAGGCTTATAGATGGGTGTCGGAAGATAGTGTGAGGGGGAATTGTCAAACAAATGACGGTGTTTGGACTCGTATGTCCAAAAAATACGTAGAGTTCTATGAAGGCACCATTCCAATGAATATTCGAAATCACGAGAGTTGTTCTTCAAAATGGAAGAAACATCTTCAGCCAAGTTTGAACAAATGGCATCAAGCATTGTTAGCAGCTGCAAGTAGACATGAAAGTGGCGTTAATTACTACAACTAAGTAAGTGTTTTCATAATTTATTTTAAATATTTAATTATATTACATTTAATTTCATAAATTAATTTCCTTTAATTTTTTTCTAGGTACACCAAGCCTAGGAATTGTATATAGATAGCAGCTCGAAACCCTTTCAATTTCACAGTTGTTGGGAAATTTGTAAAGGGTGGGTGTTATTTGAAGATCCACCACAAAGAGCTCCTACACCGGTGTTCAGAACTACATCCTCAGCTGCAAATATGGATGAAGATGGATCTCCAACCATTCACCAAATAAGGGTAGAAAATCCGTCTTCTGGTGAAGGTTTCATACCTAGGGTTATGGTACGAAACAAGGCACGAAGGTTGAAGGAAAAAGGGCAAGGCAAATGATGATTACGTAATGAAGTGGCAACCTCATTGCGATTATTGGCAGAGCAAAATGCCCTTGAGGCGGAAGAAAGGAAGTGTAGGTATGAAGAACGGGCCAAACAAATACAAGAAGAGATGGATGATAAGAATATGCAAAGGAACACTTCAAATTACACTCCAATGAGTAAGGCTTATTTTGATAGGAAAAAAAGAAAAGAAATTATGAGCCGACGGCAGATGTTTACCTCTGACTATATTCATACGATGGCGGATGATGAAGATGATGTTGATTACGGATATTAAATTTAAGTTGTTGTAGTTTTTAAATTTAAGTTAATGTTGTTTTCGAATTTAATTTGTAGTTTTTAAATTTAATTTTTCATTTTTAAAATTTAGTTGTAGTTTTTAAATATACGTTGTAATTTTTAAATTTAAGTTGTTGTTGTTTTTAAATTTAAGTTGTTGTAGTGTTTAAATTTAAATAATAAATTATGTTTGACCCTATAGCTCTCGGTTGGAGACGAAGGCAAATATGGTCTTGTATTGTTCATTAAAATATTAATATCTTGGAGGACCAGAGGGCTAAAACGAGCCATCTGACCAGCCCTCAGTTGGAGATGGCCTAAGATAGTTTTAAAAAAAGTAAAACAATGTATTGATGTTAGAAAATAATCACTTAAATCAAAACAAACTTTAGCACTCACTAATTGTAAGTTTACATATATCATTAATTATAATTAAAAAAGCTACAAGCATAACCTTCACTAAATAATCAAAAGCAGTTCAATCTTAAACAACCAAACATGAAAAAAAAAAAAAAACTTCAAAACTGTGACATCCCACATCGCCCAGGGGAGTGATCCTTATATGTATATTCCCATCCCTACCTAGCACGAGGTCTTTTGGGAGCTCACTGGCTTCGGGTTCCGTAGGAACTCCGAAGTTAAGCGAGAAGGGAGCTAGAGCAATCCTATGATGGGTGACCCATTAGGAAGTTGCTCGTGAGTTCCCAAAAACAAAACCGTGAGGGAATGGTAAGCTCAAAACGGACAATATCGTGCTACAGTGGTGGAGTGGGCCCGGGAAGTGATCCGCCCCGGGCCGGGACGGGGCCGGGATGTGACAAAAACTCTAACTTTAAAATTTCACTTGAAAATATGACATTACTATACAATAAAATTGAAAAACCATTGTTTTTTGGGATGTTATTATTGACAATTAGAATATGTCATTGTACTCCAAATTTTTATATGGAGTAATGCTAGGGAGATTAAATTTGTAAACTAAATTTTGTAAATTAGACATATGAGCTGATATACGTGCTCATTTAGTCTTCCTAGCATTACCTTTTTATATTTAAAAAGGAAAAAAAATTACTCTTATAAGGAATGTAATGAGATTTTAAAATGTTAACAATAGCCATTTTCGAAATATAGAACATTATTACATAATATTAGATGACAAAATTTTGGGGGCCCCTACAAATTTGGGGCCATTTGCGACTGCACATTTCGATTTCGCTCCCCCCCCCCCACCCCGCGCGGGGGATTAGATTATGAAAGATTTTAAAGTATGATTAGGATAAACTGATAAAGAAATAATATGATTGCTCTTACTTATAGACCAGAGTGAAAGCTAACCCTAAGGGGAGTTGGAAGAGGCGGCCACCTAAGGCCATCTCCAACCGAATAAGGATTAGAGTGCTCGTTATAGCCCTATAGCCCTCCAAGAAATTAATATTTCAATGAACAGTATCATGCATTATTTATTACCATCTCCAACCGAGGGGCTAGAGGGCCATAGGCCAAACATAGCACTGAGACAAAAAATATCTCCAACCGAGGGGGCCAAAGGGTCATAGAGCCAAACATAATTTATTATTTTAATTGAATTAATATGGTTACTTAAATTAAACAATCTTAATAATTTTTCGAGTTGGAATCTCAATAATTTTACGTCTCGGAATTCAAGCGCGACGTGTTGGATTTGGAATGTCAATAATTTTTTTTTTTAATGTTGTTTAAGTTTTATGTTGTTTAATGTTACTTAATGTTATTAATATTGTTTAATGTTGTTTAGTGTTACTTAATGTTATTTAATGTTGTTTAATAGCTTAGGAAGTTATAGGAAAAATTGTAATTTAATTTTTTTTTTAATTTTGT